TCATTTTTAATAAATTTACTTCCTCATAGGATACACAGTTTTTAAATTCAATATGCAAAACATAGGCAAGATTTTCTCCCAGATATTTGCTAAAAATTTCTATTCAAAACAAAAATATACGTCCATTCCTACATTTTGTGATATTTTGCAACAATATACTCTCTTTGTACTGATTTTCACATATGGGAATGATACTCTTGGTAATAACTGACAAAGCAATGTGAAATTGTTGTCATTTACATGTTGTCTTGTTATAAAATTATGTTGAATAATGTGGTTGATATAATACTACCTCACTCACCCAATAAAACTTATTTTTATTCAATAGTGTGATTTTTACATATAGAATAAGAAAGGTAGTTTTCATTAGACATTATCAATAACTTCAAATAATAGTATGTGACAAAATTTGAAGCCCAATAACTAAACTTACTTGGGGAGCACAAAAAAGAGGTAGAAATTTTGTGAAAGACTCCCCATGCCTCCCACCTTTTTCATAAAGATTTATATTATACAAAATCCATAAATGCAATTGAGTCTAATTTTGTGATTTTTCAACATTAATATTAAAATCTGAGATGATACTGAATATGTATTCAGTGGTAGATTGTTAAAACACTTGCATTCCAAGGCCCTTAATTCAATTTCTAAAGCAGAAAATAAAAGAAGTACTTCATTAAGTTCATTTTTATGATGATATTTAAAATATGTCTTCATTTTGTTATCTGTAGATTTAAATCTGCATAATAATAAGCAGCATACAATAATTCGCACCTGTGACAAACTGTTCAGTGATCAAGATACTTTCTTGTGTACCAAATTATGGCTTCAAGTATCAAATCACAATGAACTCTGAAACTATTAGGAATTTGTAATTTAAATAGTTTCACTCAACCCCTACTCCCAAATGCTTTTAATTAGAACAGACTTTTTAATTAAGTACTCCCTTGCACAAAGTTTAGCCTGATGATTTTTCCTGTCATATCAACCTCCCAAAAAGCAAACAATCATTGTGCCAAAGGAAAACTAGGTGTTTTTATTGAAACTAGAATATCAGAACTGCAGGCTTGATTGCACACTGTGTAGACTAAAGAGAAGACCATGCCCTTGGAGCAGAGCATAAAAGATAAGGCATGAGTAGGGAGTACATGTCGTGGACTCTAAATTTATTTAAGTATTTAGTTAAGGAAACATTTCATAGTGGAGTAGACACAGAATCTTATTACTATTAATATCTCATCACTGCAATTCCATTTGTTTTCCTGAGAAAATGTCTGAGGAACTAAGCTTCCTCAAGCATTTCAATACTTGTTTAAGAAAAAAAATAGGAACGCTTTTTTTTTTGAGGTGGAGGTAAGTAGAAACTTAACAATATTTTTATCAATTCTTTCAGAATTTCATTTTTCCATTTTTCCATATGGTGTATTTTTCTCATATTCATCCTTACTCTTGCAATAACTCATCCCAAGTCCAACCCCAGATCTCTAAACTGCTCCCAAGGCCCTACCTTCTTCCATGTTTTCAAAAATAACCCACCAAGTAATATTCTCTTGGGCACGGAGTCATCCACTAGAACATAGTCTACCTACCAGGGATAATAAATCATTAATAAAAACTGAATCTCCTTCACCCGGAAGTCATCAACTATCAGTATCTCCTAGTGGGATGGGGGCGTTTGACGCCCTTCCACCTCTGTGTTAGAATGTTCACTGGCTCCATCTTCTGTAAATCAGGAACAACCAACCACAGTTGTTGTGAGTTCATTAGTTCAGTGGTGTTGTCATGTTCAGAAGAGAGTGTGATCCTCCATTCACACTTAGAGTCTTAAACCTGTTCTATGTGATTTTCCAGAATGGTCCTTGAACCTTGAGGGAGTAGTAGAGAGTGACGTGAACAGCCAGCCCATTTGGGGCTGACTTCACAGATCCATATATTCAGCCTTTTCACCACTTGGCACGTTTTGTTCTTAAACACTTCATTTTACCAAGTAACATTGATGAAATCTGAGAGCATCCCTGATCTATCTATGGGTCTCAAGATATGAATCTGGAGGACAGTTTGAAGCTATGTCCATTTAGCAAAATAGGAGAAATGAGTGTATCCTTCGAGTCAACAAGTCATGACTTCTTGGCCAGTTTTATATTTTTAGACATAGACTTCCTCCTGTAGAGTAGGCTGTAAAACCAGCCAGAGAACAGTTGTTCAGCCCCATACATCTGTGCCACTGTTGTTATAGCCATGGAACATTTTACCACAGAGGTCATGGTGACTTATTTCTTCAGCTTTCTTCATAGCACCTGCCACTATTATGAGGGAGAGTATCTGCTCAAGACCAATTTAATTTTGTCACGTCCTATTGGAAAAATGTGTGGTGTTGCAAGGATTAGGGGCCTACCATGAGGATATGATGGGCAACCAAGAACAATGGCAATAGCCTGCACTGTTCAGGGTACATTCAGAACAATCTTGATGAACAAATCAAGAGGAAGTTCCCATATATGGCATTGGAATTTTAATTTGTCAATTTTTGATTCACAAGAGAAACAATAACACTCATGAAGGAATACTAAAATTAATCTCATTAAGTGTGGGTATATATATATACGTGTGTGTGTGTGTGTGTGTATGTATGTGTCTGTCTGTCTGAGAGAGAGAGAGAGAGAGAGAGAGAGCACTTATGAAATAATAAGTCCCCACATGATCATTCCAAACATCCTTAATGTTAATTCTGCTAACCCTCTCTTCTACCTACTCTCCCATCCATCTCTACACTATAGGCTTAATAAACTTTAAGGTATCTTTAATACAGTATGTACTTGGGAAAAGTTAGCTTTGCTGATAATAAAGACTATTATTGGTTTCCTTGAGATGAAAGCTTTTATTGATTTGGATTGTGTATTATGTAATACACTGGTAAAATTTACTCAGCATCAAGAATAGATTTTTTCTGTGCCTACAACACACAGAAATATATAACATAATATAAGGAATAGTGGTACAGTAATTGCAGGACATTATCTTGTCAGTGTGTATGAATGAAGTATGGTGAAAAAAGGCAGTTCTACTACTTGAAAGATTACTCAGTGATTAAGAATACTTCTTGCTGATTCCTATCATCTAACTTGGACAGTTCAGGACTTTCTGTAACTCCAAATCCAAGAGATCTGATACTCTCTTTTGGCCTCTGAGATGCAGATACATCATATACATTTGGCATTCACTTATACATGCCACGTATGCAAAGAAAAAAAACTTATTCAATAGTATTTATTGATTTAAAACCTTTACAGTATCCTACTTATTTCTGACACACATTAACCCTTCAAAAGTTTAACATTTAGACTGATGAGATGACACAGTATCTAAGGGCTTGTCTGATGATCTGAACTCATTTCCCTTAACACGGGTAGTGGTAGGAGAAAACTGACAATGGCCTTTTGTCCACTGACATCCTCACCACATTTGCACAGGCATGGTGGAATGCACACACGAACCCACATGCATACACACCACACACATATGATTAATAAATGTTTAAAATATTTTAAGAATTTTAGCATTTGCTACATCAAAACATTCAAGGGAACCACTGTGATGTATCACTCTGCTTCTGATATTGACAGCAATAGTGGAATGGCTGTTTCTTTCATGGGACTTAGCAGTCTGGAGGTCCACCATCAAATTTCAGGGCACATAGACTGGCAAACAAAAGTTGGACACTTTGAAAATTTTTTAAAAATTAACAAGAATGGTCTGAAGAATAAATTGAAGGGAGAAAGTGCTGACTTTTTGGACTACTAAGGAGATTAGGCTGAGTATATATAGACAGTGAAGTATGATACACTGTATAGGATGGAATGGTTAGAATCATGTGCTCCATGACACCAGTGATGTGATATTCTATTTCTGCAAATGATGCTAATGTAAAACATGACAAGAATGTGGAATTTGGCCAAAACATTATTTCTATGAAGTGAAAAATGCTTTACCAATGAGAGTTTTTATACTAATTATTATTTATACCTGCTATAGGTTCTTTAACAGCACTTAATTAAGTGAGGTGCATAAATACTTTTCTGTTTTCTGAATTCTATTCTGGGATGTTTGTAATTCCTTGTAGATTGGACATTTTCCAGACATTTACACTGATACTTATTTTTCAAAAATTGGGAAAGGTTTTCTGATCATTCTGCCATATTTTGAAGCCGGGAGTACTTGAAATTCTGTCATATTTTACATACATCTGAATCAAGTTATGTCAACCACAGAGGGCACAGGTTAGAATATATCTGAAAATGGACTTACGTTTTGCTTGTTTTTTTGTATTGCATAATTAATTTCTTCTTTCCTATTTCTGTTTCATGCAAATAGTTTATCTGATATGTCCATGATTTCATTATATTTCCCACAAAATCGTATTTTAAGCTTTGGTAGTATACTTATAAATTAACACTTATTTGTTCAGCTCATCTTACTACAGTGAAGAAAATATCTACATTAGTGATAATGTTAAAACTAAACAGGCGACTTTCAAGTAAATAGCAACACATGCTCACAATAGTTGCATCCCATAGAATATTTAACTATACTTCTAGTAAGTGAGAAGAGACTCAGGCTTTCATGATGGGGACACACCTGAGTGCATTCTCAGAAAATTTAGTTCTGCAAGCTTGGTGGAAGTAATTGTCATTCGACAGAAATTCACTAGCTTTGCATATCAGTAATGTACATACACACATACCCTTATCTATTTTCTGAGTGGTCTGGGACTGATATCATTGTAGCAAATACATTTATGAGAGCTAGGAACTCTGTATCCTCAGTGATCCTATGAACTCACGTAATTGTGGAATTAATTTTAAAATTTTGTGAAGACTGTTACATCCTAAGCACATGCAAATCAGATAAAAACCAGAATTCCATGCCAAATTTCATATTTCTTACATCTACATTTGTCTCTCAAATACTATGCCATTAATTGATTTTGTCATTTGTTTCAGATGGAAGACTGTATTTGAAAACTACCGTCATGTACTGAATCTTTCCTGTTGAAGAAACCCATCCTTTACTACAGAACTCTGGAATCAGATATTCATCATTGAGAAGTTCAGGAAAACAAAACTTAAGAAGTCCATAAAAAGGAACTTCTTCATATTGTGTGTTAACGATCCTTAACATTTAAGTATTCCACAAAAGCAGAAAAGTTTCCGCCATTGATTTTCCTCCTGTGGCTCATACCAGAGACTGAGAATGTTTCTAACTGTGCACACATCAAACTTCCATCAGTTAACAACTCACCTGTGCTGCTGGACACTTGTGCACAGAGTTAAAGATGGGTCTGAGGAAGACCTAGCTTTGGTTTGCTTTCTGTTTGTTCTTCTTCATGGAATGAACCATTTTTCCTCTTCTGAAAATTCTGTAACTGAGCGCATCAACAGACTTTGTCACGGTGTTCACTTAGACTTACAGTACTGTGTCCCACAGAAACCAGCAAGATTACATGGGATGAAGTTGGAAGGGCCATCGAGGATTTGGTTGGCAATGAGAGAATTGAGAGCATTCTGTTACATTCTATTTTAAACTCTGTAATTGACGATTTTCTCCTGAAGACTTTTTTCATATACTTTCTGAAAGACCAACAAATATATGTTAACAACTCAATGAAATTACATTTTGCATATCTGAAACAGAAGCATTGAGTATAAGCCAAAAGGTTTCACTGATGGTCTCTTTTTCTTAAAGATTAAAAAAATATATAAAATATATATATATAAATATAACATGTTTTCATTCCAAACTGGTAGTGATATATAGGATTAAAAATAATAACATTGCTTCTTACTCATGTTGGTCACATGTACAGTATATAAACATAAAACACACAGGAAGGTATTATGTATGCAGTAGTATACTAGCGTTTAGGAAATGAAAATTTTAGAAAATATGTTTTGTCACCCTGTTGGTCAGAAAGATGTCTTTCTGGTTTTAACGCATGCAGGCATGTAAATATTTGTCTGGAGTCACAGTATTAATGAATGAGATCTTATGAGTCTGGTGACATCAGAACTCTGTGCCAGTCACTTTTATTTGTATATTGATCCCTAGTGAGTGCACCAAACTTCACTACAGAGGATGAATTGTGGCTGACCAGTAAATCAGAACACCAGAGATATTTTTATATTTTAATGTCATATTATGTTAATGTTGCTAAAAACAAAACTTAACAAGCCCTTGGTGTATTGGTCCAATACCATGTAGCCCCGAGTGATGAAGTTAAACTGTGCTGTGCTTCCCGCCCTGTTGAGAGGGAAGGGTGGCTACGTGTTATTTTTATTGTCTTTTTGAAAGTTACAGTATGTGTTTTCACATTTGTGCATATAACTGGAAGTAAAGCTGCAAACAGTGCTATTACATGCTAAAGTTACCTTTGTTTTTACACAATGGGAGTGATACTTCTAAAGACACGTGAATCAGTGTGTCATATTAAAATTTTATAACATTTTTATTACCATAAAACAACAAAGTAATAAGTCTAAGGAAGCTAGCTTCAATGTTTAAAGACAGTTCTGGTTGGATAAACATTATTTTACTAAGAAAAAAATTCCTTGTTTGGATACTGTGTCACTAAGCTTCTGTACTTTTTAGGTCTTCCTTGCAGTTCTGAAACATTACTAATTCTTGGCTGTAACTTGCTATTAACCGGTTAAGTCCATTTTTAATACTACAAAGGGTTATATGTACAGTTCTTCTTTTAGCTTGCTTTGAAAGGGAGTAATATTTTAATTTAAAATATTGTTAGTAACTGCTTTGTAGAAACTTGGTTTGCTGAGCATAATTTTCCCATGATCATGCTTTGTTGTTTGAGGAAAAGAGATTCTATTCCTGCTTACCTGTATCTTTTATTTGTTTTTCCCTACATACAGCTGTTAAAAGATTACAACACATAAATTAGATGTACTTACACTAAGCTCTGGAGTCATGTATTAACAGACATTTCTGTAAGCCTACAATTTACATAGGTAGTAGAGTTGGCTATTGTACTTCTCCTGGCCTAGAGTCACCTATTAAGTGGGGTAAATCATTTTAAAGTACATACAAAAGACCTCTGAGAATGCTTTGGTGTTTGGTTAAAAAGGAAGTTTTAGAAGAAATTAAGACAAATGCTGTTCGCTGTATGTTGAGACTCTTATTAACCTGTTGTAAATATTACAATTCACAAAATGTTATTGTAAGTTTGTAACTTAATTTTCCCCTTTTTAGTTAAACAGGTTTGTTTAGAAATTTGTGTTTTGGTTTAAGCAAGTAAAATTGTCTCCATTTTATGGTTTCCATGCTTTTGTAATCTTACAAATATTAACGTCTTGTTGTTCTATATTATAACCATATTTGCGCTCTATGCAAGCCCTTGGAACAGAACATACTCATCTTCATGTAGGACCTATGAAAATTGTCTATTTTTATCTATATATTTAAAGTTTTCTAAAAATGATAAAAGGTTATTACGAATTTTGTTGTACAAAATCTGTACAAAAATCTGTTTTTACATCATAATGCAAGAATTGGAAATTTTTCTATGGTAGCCTAGTTATTTGAGCCTGGTTTCAATGTGAGAACCACGTTTACTGTTATTGTATTTAATTTTCTTTTTCTTTTCAACAATCTCCTAATAAAAATGTCTGAAATCGCCTTGTGACTTTATTTACCGTTTGTCTTTATTACAGTCTCTGAAATAAGTTGCATCGAAGGAATATTTACTTTCTAATGGGAGGCATCTAAAAACAACCTAAGTCAGCTCTTTGCAATGCTCGGGGAGCAATGCTCAATGATTTTATTTAACATGCAACCGCTTCTATCTCTAATATGAATTACTGTGGTGAAAAACATCATAAAAGCACACTCTGTAGTTATTGTTTAACAAGCAGATTTTCCATATTTTGTTTCTTGCCAGCTAAGCAAACTGCCCACATATACATGATTTATTTATGTACATTTCTCAGTTTATGAAGCTGTTATTTGTACCTTTTTTCCTTTATCTTCTTATATTCCCATGATTCTTATTTCACCAAGCTTTGTGCTGAATAATGTAAAGCAGACATGTTGATGGAATGAAATATATAATTCCTGTATCTGTAGGAGTGTGGAATTGTGCCTCTAAATCTATGGTTTGCTTTCAACTATATTATCAGAAAAATACCTCTTGAAATTATAATATCCACTAACAACATATAAACACTCTTATCAGTGTAAAATACAACACTAGGAGATATATCAGGTTGCTATTTCTGTAACTAATCTAATCATTCATAAGTGAATGGACAAACTGTTTTTTTCTTGGTCAAAATGAATGACCTCAGTGAATTTCATGAAACAGAATATTAACAAATTATAGTTTTTCTTAATAAAAAGCAGAAATGCTCATATGACCATCATAAATAGATTTTTATCTTCTGTCTTCATGAACTTATGCCAGTAAGACTTATCTTAGAAGGCCATAAAAATCTGTGAGTTAGTAGGATTTGATGATCATTTAGGTTTTCTCCATGTGTTATTTTTCCAGAATTATCTTAAAAATATAAATCATTTGGGCTGCATTTTAAGATGCCTAAAGTAGAGATGTTATTAGAATCAAAATATTATTGGAAAAATGTAGAGGATATCAGATTTCTTCATGTTTTTTTTAGTATACAAAAGCTGAACAAATGCTCATTTTTCATTGAAACACATTCACAAATAAGGCCTGTCTGCTCCAGAAAAGTGTGGTAGATGCTTATTGACCAAAGCTAAAACCTAATTGTCCCAAGGAAATTCTAAGTTTATTGGAATAGGGATCTTACAAGAATGGCATCAAAAGATGCATATATCCTTTTTTCTGTTTCCCACCAGGTATTAATAACCTAGAAACCTTTTATTCTTACATTACTCTTGTAGAGAACATTAAAAGTTTATTTGATGAAAGGATAAGAATTTTTAAAAATTAAATACACTTATTTTCCAATAACAAACCCCTGTTCTTCCTCTCTAAGAACTTCCAAATTCTCAAAAGCAAAAATGATCATTTTCACTGTGGAAGAATTATAAAGGCAATTAAGTTAGATGAAAGGAAGCATGTTTTGTACATTCTAGTCACACTGGTAAATATTAGTCAAGATAACTAGACTGAGATAGATCTTGCAGATATAATGCAATATCTAAAGTAACTACTAAAATGATACACTAATAAAATATAGTCAGAAATATTATAGAGTAAAAGAATTTACCAACATAGGGAGGCCTCTTCTGCATAAACAGTAAATACTTTATATTTTGATCCAGAGCATGGAATTTCTCTTTTGATGGGTTCCAATATAAACCTCTATAACTGTGATCTCTGTAACACAAATAAATAAATGATCCAGAGACTGATATTGGGGTTCAAACTTCAAGGTGAATATCAGAAAAGCAAAGTAGCTGGCCACTAGCTTCCTACCTCTACCTCTGACTAAATGGGCTGATCCTATCTCCAGGAGCTCTCACCAAGCCTCAGACAGCAACCTCTTCTTAGTTTGGCTGGTGAATGAATGCCTTATCTTCAGTGTGGCTGGAGAATGAATGCCATTCTGAGACTTTGCTTCTGTCTTATATACTTCCCTAACTTTGGGATTAAAGGTGTGAGCTATAATTCTCTTTTAGGCTGATTCACTCTTGTATAGATCTGCCTGGCTTTGGACTCTTAATCTTAAATCCAAGGATTAAACGTATGTAGCACCTACTCCCAGTTTCTGTCTGGGATTAATGGCATGTGCCTGACTTCTAAGGTTTGTGGCTGACTTTGCTTTTCTGAATCCTCAGTCAAGCTTTAATAAATCATAAAAAATATATCACTTCAGATCTCTCTAATAACAAAGGATCTCTGTTTTAGAAATAATTTTGAAGTGACAAAGAAAGAGATCACCTATCCAATTAAACTGCCTCCATATGGGAGGGGATATTCTTGATCAGGAAGTTTTACTACTCACAGAAGCAAAGAAGCAAACACCTCTTTTGGGCTCATAGGTTAAATTCTAACACAAGTACTGACTGTTTATTTTCCCATTTGTCAGGAGTTTAATCTCGCAACTTTTCTTCCATATTGGCTAGTTTTTAAAGAATTATCAAGATGAGAATATAGGAAATAGGGAAGGGGATCATAGCTACAGGTCATTAAGTTCCTGGAATGCAGTAAAGTTTTTAAGTAAACAAATGTTTTGTGGGATGGAAGGATTAAAATTTTTGCATAAAAGTTTTCCTAGTTGAATGAGATAAAAATATTTGCATATAAGTCTTACAAGGTGGGAGAGATAAAAAGATTTGAATTCTTTGTCATGAAAATCTTACAGAATTTGACAGAAAAGACTAATATTTAATGTTTCCTACACTGCTGAATTGCATCTTTGAGTTAAATCTGTCTGTGTATCCTGAACCTATGTTCATTCTTTCTGAATGCCTTATGTTTCCCTGTATTCATGGTTTGACACTTTTTATAAGTAAAATCATTTAGCTGTGCAATGTATCTTCAGGTAAAAAATATGAGTAGCAAACATCTAGATTTGTGAGTGTCTCTAAAGGACTAAAACTGATAGGATAAAAATAATTTATTATTATTATTAACAAAGAATTTATTGTGGTGACTTACAGGATGTGGTCCTCATAATCTGATAAGAGGAGACTTACAGGGACATTGAAGAAGCCAAGAATGTGGTAATTGTCCCATGCCATAGTCTGGGCATCTCAGTTTTCCCACTCAGTCTGGCACAGGTATTCAGTTTTTATTATAATCCCAAAGTTAGTTCATTGATTAAGGAAAGTCAAAGCAACAAGACATGTGTATTTGAAAGTGAGGAAGCGCAGACAGGTAGAAAGCAGTGTTTTCTTCTTCCATATTCTTTATTTAATTTGGACTTCTGATGGGGGAAGTCCTTCTGTGTATATGTTGTCTTATTGGTTGATTAATAAAGCACTGTTGACCAAAAGGGAAGCAAGGTAGGTGGGACTAGGAGTCAAGGAGGATTCTGGGAAACAGAGGCACAATTAGTCATGATGTAGGACACCGGAAGAGTAAGAGGTCCAGACCCTTTCTCTGGTAAGATAAGACCATGTGGAAATACTCAGATTAGCAGGTATGGATTAATAATTAAGTCAGAGCTAGCTGATAGGAAACCAAGCAGATGGCCAACAGCTTCATAATTAATATAGTGTTTTGTATGTTATTTGGGGGCTGAGACAGCTGTGGGACCCAGGCGGCTGGTCAGAAAACTGCATGTTACAGGCTTCCTTCAGAGCTTGTGGCCCAGATTTAAGGTGGGTTTTCCTGCTTTAAATAATCTAAGAGATCCTTCATAAGGGTACCCATAATTCTTTGTGCTAGCTGATTGCAGATGAAGTAAAGTTGACAACCAAATTAACCATCAGATAACCTTCAGTTATCTAAAGGTGTCTGTTAGAGTTTGAGGGACACCCAAGGTAATGGGGTCTTTTTCAACTGAACCTTGTTGAAGCAATCACATACATTTCCATTTTGATTGACTCCTCTTGTATCTCCTGAAAACCAGTGTTGGGCATAGTTACCATTCACTAACTAATACATCTATGCCACATATACCTAAGTGAGCAGCTAGGTGCTCTTGCTGCAACAAACCAGAGAATACTGACACATTCCCCCTATACAGGGAACTTTCTGTATGCCTTGGTTAGACCAGCAAATCCCATATTTGCTAGCCTTGGAAAAGTCAACCATGGAACAGGAACAGGGGTTTTCAGTATTCACAAACCTCCAGGGGACAAAAACTAAAATAGTGATTCAAAACAAACAGGTTTCCCTTAATTGGCCTCTAGTTCCTTGAATAAGGTTACTGTATCATTTGCCTGTATCATTTATCCTAAAATCGTTGATAAGAAGCCTGAAATTAATGGACCAGATATAAAGCATTTTTTCACCAAGAAGATATACAAGTCTATACTAGAGTTTCAGTTGTACTCTCACATATAGCCATGCTCAAATGGAATCTTAACTAGACCTTTGAAAATGATCAAGAAGATACAAACAGCAAAGGAAAAAGTCAAATTATCTTTATATGAAAATGATACAATTGTATGTATAAATTATAAATTTAAAACTTCCACTGGGAAACTCCTACAGAAAGTTAACTCACAAAACTCAGTAGCCTTCCTATATACAACTGACAAGTGGACTGAGAAAAAAAAAAAACAGGAAAACAATACTCTTCACCATAGTGTCAAAAATAAATAAATAAAATATCTTGGAATAATGCTAAGAAAACAAGTAAAAGACTTACATGCTAAAATGTTTAAGACATCAAAAGTAGAGATTGATTGCTAGGGTTTTGTGGCAATAGGAGGGTCAAAAAGTGCATCAAAGATCATATCACATAACAGACCTCATGTGTTGGTGATCAGGGAGCATGAAAAGCAGTCTCTGAGCTAGGATGGAAATGTGTTGCATTTGGCAACTGTTGAAGATATGGCAAATGGTGTTATGTCACTGAAGACAGCTTGAGGAGCACCTGGTTCTAGAATGTGGGTTGTTCTTGGTTTACCAACAAAGACTGGAGATGGAAAGCTCTCCATCGTGGAATATTATTTTAACTGGGCAAAGATGCGTTAGATTTGTTTATGTTGGCAAGTACTACTTATGTGAAGGTGTGATGCAT